CCCAGTAAGAAACATCATAAATGGAAAAGATTTAAATTTTCAAGCATTCTTTTTCACTCGGGTCTGCAATCAGTGCATCTGGAGGCAGCATTCAAGAAATCAAGTATTTACTGCATAGGGAAAATCAATTGCAAACATCTACTTCGAAGTATTACAAAGCCGTCACTTTGAGGACTAAGGTGTGCCTAACCCAACCTGTGGTCTTTTTCATCACATCTTGCATGCAAATCGTGACCAAGGCTGAAGTCTTTTGAATGTGTTCACAAAGAATGTGGAATACACCAGAACAAGTGCCTGCCAGAAGAACAAGTGTCTGGGAGGAAGAGCACCAGAATATTCCTTAGAAGCAACGATAGACTGTTAGTGGGCATGTCATCGGGGGTGGGGTGGGGGGACCAGTTCCTGGAGAAGGACGGACATCATGCTTGGTAGAGGATCAGCAATAAAAGGGATGGACCAGCAGTCGCTGCAACAATGGGCTCAAGCTTATCAACTGTACAGATGGTGCAAGACCAGGCAGGGTTTTGACCTTGGTTGTGCATCTGGCTGCTGAGTTGGAACTGACTTGACAGTAGTCATGGGAACTCTCAACAAGGGTGCCAGGAGCAGTAACACTGTCATTTGGTTGCACCAGCCCTGGACTTGAGTCAGAGGTTAGTCATGTTTCATCCTATCAGGATACACAGCCATTCTTGCCAGGGTGGGAGCAATGGTTCTGCAATCCTGAGACTCTAGGGGCAGAGCATGCTGAGTCGGAAACAAGACTTCTAAGGATGTGAGTCCTGTGGTATATGGCAAAACAAACCTTTATGCCACTGATGGCTCCCATTACTGCAGGGACTCAAGGAATGAAAGAAAACACAAGTAAACAAGACTCCCTGTATTTATTGTCAGTCTGTTCTGGTGGGGCTTAATCATTAGCTTTTAAAAAAAATAGAAGTCACAAGTTATCCTAGAAAGGGACTGGTAGTTTTAGCTCCACCATTTAGTAGCTGGCAACTAATCATCGTTTATGCATACATATTAAAAGGTCTGTAGTTCTGAAACCTTGAGTGGTATGGTTACTAAGAAACTACCTAGTTCTCTTCCATTACATCTGTGGTTTGGACCTATTGAGATCTGGTGCATCACCTGCTTAAAATTTTTTATTTTTTTTAATCTTTCCATTTTCTTCTCTTTAGTTTTCCTTGGTCCAATGTTTCCCGCCAGGTTGTTGCCTGTGACATCATCCTTGTGATATCATCCAGTCCTGACATCATCTGTACTTTCCAAGCTCTAAATCTAAGCCACCCTTCACTTTGTCCCTCCTTGACACAAATTTGCAGTCTAAATCACACCAAGGAAGCCTGTTGATAAAATGCATTTAATTCAACATAGCAAGTGCTGGGGATAAAAAGTTGAACATAGCAACAGTACACACACAAGTGCTGAGGATAAAAAGTTGAATATAGCTACAGTACACATACACACACACAATTTGTTTGGTCTTTAATAATCTTGGTTTCCATGTTTGGATTTCCTAAGGTAGGGCTTACCTGCAGAAGTGAAAGCACAAAAACGTGAATTTTAATTGCACCTGTAGGCTTAAATAACATGGCAGTCCTGAGTTCGGGAAATTCATTGCCCTCTCAACATGACTATTTAAAATCATTTTATTGGGAGCTCTTACCATAATGCACACATCTATCCATTGTGTCAAGTATATTTGTACATGTTGCCATCATTTCAAAACATTTTCTACTTGAGCCCTCAGTATCAGCTCATTTTCTTTCCCTCCCTCCCTCTTTAACGAACTCTTGATAAATTGTCATGTCTTACATCGACGGCCGTCTCCCTTCACCCACTCTGGTTATTTCTTACTCTCAGAACAGCTTTCAGTACATAACAGGGGCCAGATCTTGTCCAGACTGCTATGGCAAGCTCCTATTCTGAGTTCCACCCACTCACCTCATCTGAGAACCAGGTTGATGATCAGGGCACCCAGAGCGGGTGGTCAGCTGACATGAACTTGACTTTTAGAGGTTGTCACCCATGAAGTCATCATTCCTTTCTGGGAGACGTTAGGCAAGGATAAATCATTTCTGCTCTGAGCATCCTTCCCCTCCCCAATTCTTGGTTCCTTATAGCTTGGGAAAAAAACCCAAACCACCCAGTTGCTAATGGATTCCAACTTGCTGGGACCTTGTAAGTGCAGAGTATAACTGCCCAGAGGGTCTGGAAGGCTGTGACTTTCAAGGAGCAGGCAAGGTCGTTTTCCCGCAGAATACCTGACGGATCCGAACCAACCTTCCAGTTGGAACCCAACAGCTCACTGTGCCACCAGAACTCCTAGAATGCCGTCCAACAACCTACTAAATTCTGCTGATTCTTCCAACGGCCTCCCAATGTAAACTAGCTTTTAATAAAAAGCAAAACCTAACAGGTGTGCCTGTACTGCACATTGAGATAAAGCTGTAAAACTATTTCCTGGCGTGAACAATGGCAGTGGTGTTGTGATGTATGGTGCTCCATGTGCAACTGAAGAGCCTGCCCAGTACTGGGCCATGCTCACAATCACTGCCGGGCATCCAGTTGAAACTTTTTCACTAATTGCCCACCTTCTTGCATGATGAAGCCAACGCCCCTCCCACCCACAAAACCTTTAAACCATTTACCCCTGCCTCATGGCTCCCACTAAAAATCTAGTAAACACTGGAGATCAGTCATTCAGACACCAGTCTTACCCTCAAGGTGATTAAAGTCGCAGACTTGATCAAACTGCCATCCACTAGGGACTCTGGAGAGGAGGACCCAGTGACATCATAGTAGGGCAGTGTGACTCAAGTGAAAACCAGACACCCAAAAGATACAAACCATTAAGTGTGGGGCTTATTAGTGCAGAGGAGTCTTCTGTGAAGTGTCCAGATGCAGTTTGAGGATGCCCAGGTCCAGCCTGGTGCCCACCCCAGCGCTGGGAGGCAGCAGAGGCCTGTGCACATAAGGACCTGGAGGAAAGACTGGATGCAGCCAGGTCTGCTTTGGGGATGCAGCTCTTTGCCCTAACAGCAACGTTCAAGGTAGTTATGAACATCTTAAGCCTTGGGTTAGATGCTGGGGGGTGGAGGGGCACATTTGGTATTCTTCTGGGTTCCCCCAGAGAACATAAAGTCATGGTGGTAAGAGCCTGGCACCCCATTGTGGTCCTAGATCGTTAACATGATGCAGTTTTATACAAGAAATCAAGTGATTTCAGGTGTACACGTCAGCCTAGGGTTATCAGTCCTCTCAAAGTTTAATTTAGGAAGTTTCTGCTCCTTCATGAGATTTCACTTTCAAATTGGTAGAATTCATGAAAATAAACATCGTTAGCCCTACTCCGACTACCTAATACTGTAACGTAACATACACTGACCATAAACAGCCTTTGACTTTTGAATCTGTATGGCACAAACTCAAAATTAAACTGCTTTTTAGCAATACTTTATTTCTACAAATCTTAACCAATGACTTTTTAGCTCTAGAAAATGCTATTATGGTCTGAGGGGTAATGTGTAAGGCTTAATTCAAGGTTTTCCCCAAGTCATGGGCTAGCCTCTATTGTTTGTATGAACTGAGTACAAAATGCACGCCTCAAAAGGCTATCTTTACAAACGAGTTATTTCCTACAGTACTCTGATACTTCAGATGTGATTCAGAAAACCCGTTAAATATAAGCACTATTTTTGGAGCAGAAAGCTCTTATACCAAACAGGTACAAGGAAGCAGCCTGCTACATGGGGGTCAGAATCTAAATGCCATATATGTATTCCCCGAGGTGACACATAAAATGTTAATGTGCGAACACACGGTTCCACAATTTGTTTCCACGTCTTTCAGAATATGGCCTTGAATATACACACTTCCTGCCAATTGAGAGTTTACCTCTATACCCTCTCCTCCATTTCCTACTTTCTTTTAGGTCAGGAGTAACCACCTGATGAGAAATGATCATCTCCAGACTAGACTAGCTCTGAAAGGTGCCTGTGCTTTATTCAATGATGGAGTAGGCTAGAAAAACAAACGGAATTTGGATTACCCTGCCAAGACACAGGTTTAAACTGAGCCAAGTTCTTCTGCATTCTAGATTTCACATTAATGGAAGGACCATTTTAGCCTTTGCTTGCATTACCAAACACGGAGGAGGGGCCATCCAAAGCTCGTGTCCCCGCTTGAATCTTTTTTAACCGTCTAAGAACTTAAAAATCAGAAAAATGAAGCTGTTACCCTAGTGTATCAAATTCTCACCTTCAATTAATATTAAATGTACAAAACATGCATTCATAGATCTCTCTCAAGTTCTTGCTGTTGGTCTTGATTCTGTACAACTTTGAGCTCTACATTAAAACAAACTACCTTTTTGTCATGGACGTAGAATCCTTTAAATGCCTTATTGATAGATCTAAACCACATACCATCTTTACCAAATCACA